GATGCTGCTTGGCCTGCTGTGTTCATCCAGCTCTACACCTTGTTATCTCAGATTCTCCAGCATCTGCAGTTCCTACTATCTCTAGATTAATTTAAGATCTGGTTGGCATGGACGGGTTGGACCAAAGGTTCTGTTTCCATGTTCTACAGCTCAAATTGGCTAGCTGTAAGAAGACAGAGGGTGGTGGTTGATGGGAAATGTTCATCCTGGAGTTCAGTTACTAGTCGTGTACCTCAAGGATCTGTTTTGGGGCCACTGCTGTTTGTCATTTTTATAAATGACCTGGATGAGGGCGCAGAAGGATGGGTTAGTAAATTTGCGGATGACACCAAAGTCGGTGGAGTTGTGGATAGTGCAGAAGGATGTTGCAGGTTACAGAGGAACATAGATAAGCTGCAGAGCTGGGCTGAGAGGTGGCAAATGGAGTTTAATGCGGAAAAGTGTGAGGTGATTCACTTTGGAAGAAGTAACAGGAATACAGAGTACTGGGTTAATGGTAAGATTCTTGGTAGTGTGGATGAGCAGAGAGATCTCGGTGTCCATGTGCATACATCACTGAAAGTTGCCACCCAGGTTGATAGCGTTGTTAAGAAGGCATACGGTGTGTGAGGTTTTATTGGTAGAGGGATTGAGTTTCGGAGCCATGAGGTCATGTTGCAGCTGTACAAAACTCTCGTGCAGCTGCACTTGGAGTATTGCGTACAGTTCTGGTCACCGCATTATAGGAAGGATGTGGAAGCATTGGAAAGGGTGCAGAGGAGATTTACCAGGATGTTGCCTGGTATGGAGGGAAGGTCTTATGAGGAAAGGCTGAGGGACTTGAGGCTGTTTTCGTTAGAGAGAAGAAGGTTAAGAGGTGACTTAATAGAGACATACAAGATGATCAGAACATTAGTTAGGGTGGACAGTGGGAGCCTTTTTCCTCGGATGGTGATGGCTAGCACGAGGGGACATAGCTTTAAATTGAGGGGTGATAGATATAGGACAGATGTCAGAGGTAGGTTCTTTACTCAGAGAGTAGTAAGGGCGTGGAATGCCCTGCCTGCAAAAGTAGTAGCCAACTTTAAGGGCATTTAAATGGTCATTGGATAAACATATGGATGATAATGGAATAGTTTAGGTTAGATGGGCTTCAGATTGGTTTCACAGGTCGGCGCAACATCGAGGGCCGAAGGGCCTGTACTGCGCTGTAATGTTCTATGTTCTAATGACTCTATGACATCTTCTATAAGGTAATCTGGTTATTAGCCCTAAAGATGAGAAAAGTGATGCTAAGGAACTGCCACTAAGCCACTAGTGAATGGAATCTAGTCTGAAGAAGGCAAGAAAAGGGCTATGTTGGCCAAACATGATTATGAGATTAAGGACTACATGAGGCAGAGCAGTGTTTGCAAAGAATATAAAGCTAAACAAGCTAAAGAGCTCTTCATGACTCCTCTTATTCCAAACAGATCATGGTAACTTCCAGTTTCACTAAGGTAAAGGTGAACAACTGGATCTGCTGTCACAACCATAACCGTCAATGGTTTTCGAGAAGATTTGTAGTTCGGGTTGTGGATGAGGTTGTACACATGCTCGCCGAGCTGGTGGGTTTGGTTGCAAACGTTTCGTCACCCTGCTAGGTAACATCGTCAGTGCACCTCCAGTGAAGTGTCAGTGTTTTGTCCTGCTGGTTATTTATATGTCTCAGTTTGCTGGGGTGGTTGGTATTATTTCCGGTTTTGTTTCTCGGTGGTTTGTACACAGGGTCTAATTCAATGTGTTTGTCGATGGAGTTCCGGTTGGAAACCAGGCCTCCACGAATTCCATGGCATGTCTCTGTTTGGCTTGCGCGATTATTGATGTGTTGTCCCAGTCAAATTTGTGTCCTTCATTGTCCATGTGTAGTGAGACAAGTGAGAATTGGTCGTGTCTCTTGGTGGCTAGTTGGTGTTCATGTATCCGTATCATCGTTTTTCTTCTGGTTTGGCCTATGTAGTGTTTCTCACAGTCCTGCATGGTATTTTGTATATTACCCCAGTTTTGCTGGTTTTGGTTATGGGATCCTTGACATTCATCAGTAGCTGTCGTAGGGTGGTTGTCGGTTTGTGGACTACTATGATACCTAGGGATCTGAGTAGTCTTGTGGTCATCTCTGAAATGTCTTTGATGTATGGTAGGGTGACTAGTGAGTCTAGTCTTGTTTTGTCTTTCTGTTGTGGTCTGTCTCGCAGGTAACGGCAGATTGTGCTTTTCAGGTATAAGTGCTCCTGTTCTGCTTTGCATAGTTCCAGGTTGCTGCAATGTGTTGTGGCTCGTTTAATTAGTGTCCTGATGCAGCTTCATTTGTGGGCATAGGGATGGTTGCTAATGTAGTTGAGTATCTGGTCTGTATGTGTGGTCTTTCTATGTACGCTAGTCTGGAGTTCCCCATTGTTCTTGCGTTCTACCGTTATGTCCAGGAAGGGTAGTCGGTTGTTGTTCTCTTCTTCTTTCTTGAATTTTATCCCGGTAAGGATATTGTTTATGTGTCAGTGGGTTCTTCTAGTTTTGTATGTTTAATAATCACAATGGTGTCATCTACAAATCGGACCCAAAGTTTGGGTTGTATAGTGGGGAGCACTGTCCGTTCTAACCTTTGCATTACTGCTTTTGCAATCAGTCCTGATATTGGGGATCCCACTGGTGTGCTGTTGATTTGTTTGTACATGCTGTCATTTAAGGTGAAGTGGGTTGTGAGGCACAGATCTAGTAGTTTCATGGTGGTGTCCTAATTGATGTTGTTGGTGTCCTGGGTTGCCTGCTTACTTGATTCGTCCAGCAGTGTAGCAATTGTTTCTTTGGCTAGGTCGATGTTTATGGATGTAAAAAGTGCTGTTACGTTGAAGAATATCATCGTCTCACCCTCTTCTATCCTAGTATCCTTGATAATGTTGAGGAATTCTTGGGATGAGTGGATTGTGCTGTCCACTAAGTATTTCAATTTCTGTTGTAGTTCTTTGGCAAGTCTATATGTTAGTGTACCTGGCAGTGAGACAGTGGGTCTGAGGGGGACCCCCGGTTTGTGTACCTTAGGGAGTCTGTAAAATCGGGGAGTGTTGGATCCCCCGGCTTCATTTTTTGATAGTCTGTCTTGCTGATGTCTCCTGCGTTGTGTAATTTCTTTAGGGTCGTTGTAATCCGATCTCCTAACTGTGGTGTTGGGTCTATCGCCATCTGTTGGTAGGTTTGGTAGGTATCTGCCAGTAGTGCATTAGCTTTCTCAATGGTATTGGGTTCTATTGAGGATTACTGACATGAGTCCTTTGTCCGCTGCTAAGATTACAATGTTCCTGTCTTTCTTGAGTCTTTCCAGGGCTTTCCTCTTTTCTGTGTTGAATGTGTTCCACTTTCCTTTTTTGCTCAGTATTGGGACTATCGTCTGTCTGATGGTCTGTTGTACTTCTTCCGTGAGTCTGCTATCCTATGGTGTTGATGCCAGCGCAGCCAGGAAGTCAGTCTTTTTGGCGTCCCTGTAGTCGCGTACTGGGATAATCTTCTCAGTGTCCGTAAGTGGTCAGTCCGAGATGTTTTTAATCCATGAATCTGTGTTGTTCATGTCATTGATGTGGGTGATTTTGGACTTTTTTTCTTGAAGGGCTATTCTTTTCTTTGTTCTGGTCTTTTGTTGTTGTATACTGATGACTCGGCATCACCCTACCATACATCAAGGACATTTCAGAGATGACCACAAGACTACTCAGATCCCTAGGTATTACAGTAGTCCACGAACCGACAACCACCCTACGTCAACTACTGACGAATGTAAAGGATCCCATACCCAAAACCAGAAAAACTGGCGCGTGGCCCCTTTAAATTTTCACAGTCTTTTTAGTCGTGGGTGTGGCCTCTATTTGAGGCGTGAATCTTGCAATGGAAAAGTACCGAAAAACTCAGATAACAAGGTGTAGAGCTGGATGAACACAGGCAGGCTGAAGAAGGGTCTAGGCCCGAAACGTCAGCCTTCCTGCTCGGCCTGCTGTGTTCATCCAGCTCTCCACCTTGTTATCTCAGATTCTCCAGCATCTGCAGTTCGTACTATCACCGAAAAACTGAGTTAATTCAACAACCTCCTCTTCCACCCAATCGTAACAGGTCTCTCACCCTCTCTGCCAATCCTGGTCTTACAAAACTCTCACCTGCCCACCCCCGCTACAAGTCTCTCACTCATTATCGCCGCTGTCACAAGTCTCGCTCTATTCCTCTACTGTCACCCTGCCGCTCGATTCCTAATCCTGCTGTCGCGGGTACTTCAATAAGTCCCCTCCAATAAATCCCTGACAAGACCAGGCTCAAGCAATTTTAAAACACGGAAATGGGTCATAAAGGGAAACGGTTTAGGAAGCGCTGTTCAAAACGTTCTGAAATTATGAAAGGTGCAGTATAAAAGTCTAAGATTGAGGGGACACAAATTCAAAGCTTTCAAGTGCCGGGTAATTATCTGAATAGAAAATGAAGTGAAGGGCTTGGGGGGGGGGGGCAAGCAGTGGAGTTGAACCAGTAGGTTGTTTTTAGTGGCCCGAAACGTCAGCCTCTCTGCTCCTATGATGCTGTTGGGCCTGCTGTGTTCATCCAGCCCTGCAGCTTGTTGTCTCGCATTCTCCAGCATCTGCACTTCCTACTATCTCTGTTTTTAGTGTTGTCGACTAGCTAAGTCCCTTTTGCAGAATTCCGATAGGAACACGACGGTTTTGTGCTCGAATGTTTCTGTTTTTTTTCCCCCTACCCAACAATACTCCTCTCTTAACGAAGAGTTTTTGTTTCTGATTTCCAGCATCCGCAGTTCTTAGGTTTTTTCATCTCCTGCTGTTTGATTGGCTCTGGTCGTCACTCGTTGACTTTAACGCATGCGCAGTGATACTGTGTTCTTATGAATGGGCGTTTTTTCCGCAACCAAATATTTAGACAGTAGATAAAGATCGAATCGAAGGGTACATTATTTTTTCAATGCATGTATTTATATACGAACTGGTTACAGCAGTTACAATTTGCCGTTGATTGTTTCGAATCAGATTGTGACACGACAGCGAAGAACCAGAAAACCGCGCCAGCCGTCGTGTAAAATCAACATGGTGTTTTCTTTTAGGGTGATTTTTGCTTTTACGAAACGTTTCCCCGTAAGGTATCATTGGATCCCGGTGAGGAATTGCAACTTTGTTTCCTGCACTCAAAATATCAATACAGCAAGTAAGTGATCACCAGAACTTTCTTCGATTATTTTAATTTGTTGTTAAGCAGACTGTCCTTTCAAATTTATAATGGGTGAACATTTTTAGGATACATTTTCATTTGCCAGTTAGTTTCTAAGTCTTAATTGGTTAGTTTTAAGCTATGCCCAAAACATTTTTTAAAAAGTCTTTTGAAAATTTCACACTGCTTTTGCGGTATCATCTGTGAAAACGACATGAATTTTTGTTATGTGATACGTTCATTCAAGAATGTTTCTGCTGAGAAATGTTGTTGTTAATTATTCGTTTAACTTTCTGCCTGCCTTCGTTCCCAGAGTGGCAGAATCCTGTGACTGTTTCAAGTGGCACCCGGCAGTCTCCTATTGACATAAACACTGCCGATTGTGTGTATGATCCACAACTCAAACCTTTAAAGATCTCGTATGACCCAAATAATTGTCTTCGACTAAGGAACAACGGCTATTATTTCCAGGTGGAATTTGAAGACTCCAGAGATAGCTCGGGTATGGAAAACTGTTCTGATGAAGGGTCACAGGAGCCCCAACGTTAACTCTGATTTCTTACCATAGATGTTGCCAGACATGCTGAGCTTTTCCAGCAACTTCTGTTTTTGTTTCTGAATTACAGCATCAGCAGTTCTATTGGTTTTTTATGAAAAATTGTTGATTTTCTTAAAGTTTGAATGTTTTTAAAAAAATGAATTCAAAACCCTATAAGCCTCCAGGCATGGTTAGAAAGAGCAGTTATGGCAGCAATTCTTGTTTACTGAGTTTGAGATAAGCTTGCTTAAGAAACAGTTCTGCGTGCGGTAGTTTTTAAATATTTAACTGGTGCAATGGACAGTAATTATGCATTCTGTAAACATTTTAATTTCTGATTATGTTTCATAATGACGGCTTCCTCACATGTTCCTATCTGGCTGCATTGATGATGCAATTTGTTATCATAGATCAATTGATAATACAGTTTAATGTTTAATATGAACAGATGCCTGGAGCAAGTTATGTGTAATCATTGACTTCTGAACTAAATTGAAGTAGTTCTTAAAAGTTAGAAAATATAGAATACAGCCAGAATGCAGAATTGAAAATTCTCCGTAATCATTGAATGCTAGAGATGGGCAGGATTTGTAGGAAGTTTGGAAATAGATCATATTTTGGAAGTGTTTCAGGTATATTAAACTTGCTGTTTTCTCTCTTTTTCTCTTCCGTTTAACTAACCCCATTTTTTTTTTGATCATCCATCCTAATATGCCCTTATATTCTCAAAGCTTTTCTGTTAACACTCCTGCAAAGACCTTGGGATGCTTTACTATATTTAAGCCACCTTATAAATGCAAGTTGCTTTTTATATTCATTTTTGATTTTGAGTCATTCCTGCTGATTTCACTTGGTTTATCCTCATTAGTCTTAAACATTGGGAAAGCAAATAATTTGTGGTTTTTAAGCATTAATCCACCAGAACAAAATTATATTTTGTTGCTATAATTTTGATATTACAAGGATTGCTTTGTGTTAGAAAGTTGGTGTTTCTTTCAAAGGTTCTGAGAGAATTGATGTTGAAGTTGCATTAGCTCCATGTATTGTGTTGGTGTAACACATTCTTTGAGTGGAGAATTGTGCAATCTTGCATGGGGTCCCAATAGAGGCAGAGGAGTGAGCTGGATGATGCCAGCGCAATTGTCTCTGAAAGTGTCAGTTAACATCGTGTACATGGCCCAACCATCCAGAGCCTCCTGACCCTGGTACTTAATCCTGAGAATGCAAAAGGGATCAAGGTAGCTCAGGTGTGCACTCAGCTTCTGGATGAACTGAGTTCTGTTTGTCCAGACCTTGTCATTGACCCCATATACAAGACCCTCTCTGCAGTTGCAGCGACCCACAGCCTTAGCCATCCGAGGGAACCTCAGTCTATGCCCTTCAAAACGGCACAGGATCATATCCTCTACGTGCTGCTGCTTCATGTTTTCCACTTCTTCACTTTTGTCTGCCACCCAAGTACTTTCTACCTCCGGCACTAGAGATCCCTAGTGGAGCACCTCTATAAGGCGGTCCTCACTCATTCCATTCGGTTCTGGGGTGGGGAGTTTTGTATGCAGTAGTCCATGCAATAGACTGTTGAATATTTTCATTAGGCGCTAGGTCACATGTACCTTTTTGTGGAGGAAACTGTGTGTTCCATGCTTACATTTTTTAAAAAAATTAACTTATTTTTCTAATCAACCTGTTCAAAGATGTTATAACACACCTCTGGAGCAGGTCACTTGAACTTGGGCCTTCTGAAACAGGGGTAGGGTCACATGTTTTTGTCTAATGTTTTCGTTTGCAGTCCTTGCTTAGTTTCTTAAAGGGAATGCTTTTAATTTTTTTTGTTGCACGTCAGCCCCATGCTCCAAAATTACGGGCATTATGTGGGAAGGGGTGTATGCAGATCAGAGGACCTTCTGGAGAGGCTGCTGTTGGACCTGGCCAAGGTGCCCATCAATAAACAGGTCCAGGCAACAGACCACAGAGAGGCTCATAGTACCCCACTGTCTGTCCCTGTTAGGTGGTTATGTATGTGCTTGCGTGTCTATTGAAAGGAAAAATGCTGAGTCTACTTGCACTATAGAGGTCATTAGAACACAGGTGCTGGGGTGTATCATCACCCCTGTAATGATACTATGTTATAATTTTGGTAAGTTTCATTTTGTAATCCCTTGACCTCATCTTTTTCTTTCAGCCCCACATAGGGCTGCCTAAACCATATTATTAATTTCAACAAATAAAGCCCCCTAAACAATATTTTTCTTTCAATTTGCTAAGTTTCTCCAAATTACAAATTTTGTAATTTCCCCTCAGGGACAGCTAATTCTATTTTGTTTTGTTTAATTTAATTATGACTTTAATTAGATTTTGATTGATGTATAATTTAAAATGGTAGAAGGAAGGACTCATGGCAGCAAATTACCCCAAACACAAGCCACTAATAGTTGAATGCAGAGTTGATTTTGATATATTTCTCAATATGCTGTGCTTGTTCAGGCACTTTTTGTAAATGCTCCAGCCTTTGGTTGAGAAGGTAAAGCTGAATTGTTTTACAGTTCCAACAACATTATTTTTAACTATATAGTCATGTCAGGGGTATCTATATCCCTGATAAAGAAATAGTGCATTGTTGAATGTAGATTTGAATGATGATCTAGTGAACAACATTCCAAACAGGTCATATTTCAGCACTTCTGTAGATTTTTTTTTCTGCATGTTCTATAGTTTACTGGAATTTTAAAAATCTACAACTAATAAGTGACATAATTTTTGATTGCAGTTCACGTTTTCCATTTGCTAACCTTAATGATTGGCCTATGTTGGTATCCATTTAATTATAAATGATTAAACCATTTGTGATTGAATAACATTTTTTTGGTCCCAGATTGATAAACAGATCCATATTATCATGATATGACTGTGTGTCATTAGGGCTGTGTCCTTGAACACTTGACTTTGTGTGTTCTCTAATGAGAATAAAATCTTATAAAACAAATTTTATATTTCCTCACTCCTAATAAAAAGCTGATGAAGATTTACAACATCCTGGTGAACTTGTTTCCATCATTACTCACATGCTATCACGATCAAAATGCATTGGTACCATTTTGGGCCAAGTTGCATTTTTCATTTCAAATATGTATATCTAATCATACTAATACTCATATTTCTTCTGAAAAAGGTTAGCGATAACATGTACGTTTTAAAAGCTGAATATCTTCCCTTTTCCAGGCTTGAAGAAATATTGACCATTATAGTTTTGCCAACCCTTTGGATTTTTCCTGAGATTTCTAGAATGTATTAGAAAAGCCATTTGAACCATTATCAGGGAAGTTGATTTGTCAGCCTGCATCTTCAGCAGTTTGTTTGGTACCATTCCCCTCGTGATTTAATTTTGCAGAGTTCCTCTCACCCTTCTTCCTCCTGATACTACTGTGACTGGAATTTTTCCTTCATATTCTCTGTAGTGAAGAAAGAAGCAAAAATTAGCTTATTTCATTCTCCATTTCTTTATTATCTGCTATTAACAAATTATTGGAAAGGGCTCTGAGAGATAGGATTTATGATCACTTGGATAAGCACAGTTTGATTCGTGATAGTCAGCATGGATTTGTGAGGGGTAGATCATGCCTCACAAACCTTATTGAATTCTTTGAAGAGGTGACCAAATACGTGGATGAAGGTAGAGTAGTGGATGTGGTATACATGGATTTAAGTAAGGCGTTTGATAAGGTTCCCCATGGTAGGCTCATGCAGAAAGTAAGGAGGCATGGGATAGGGGGAAATGTGGCAGATTGGATTCAGAATTGGCTGACCCTTAGAAGACAAAGGGTGGTAGTGGACGGAAAATATTCAACATGGTGCTCAGTTACGAGTGGTATACCACAAGGATCTGTTCTGGGTCCTCTTTGTGATTTTTGTAAATGATTTGGATGTAGGAGTGGAAGGGTGGATTAGTAAATTTGCAGACGGTACGAAGGTGGGTTGTGGATAGTGCGGAGGGCTGTTCTAGGTTCCAAAGGGACATTGATAGGATGCAGAGCTGGGCTGAGAAGTGGCAGATGGATTTTAACCCTGAAAAGTGAGGTGATTCATTTTGGAAGGACAAATTTGAAAGCAGAATACAGGGTTAACGGAAAGATTCTTGGCAGTGTGGAAGAGCAGAGGGATCTTGGGGTTCATGTCCACAGTTCCTTGAAAGCTGCCACCCAGGTGGATAGAGTTGTTAAGAAGGCGTATGGTGTGTTAGCTTTCATTTATAGAGGGATTGAGTTCAAGAGCCGTGAAGTTATGTTCCAGCTATACAAAAGCCTGGTTCGGCCACATCTGGAGTATTGTGTCCAGTTCTGGTCGCCTCATTACAGGAAAGATGTGGAAGCGTTTGAAAAGGTGCAGAGGAAGTTTACCAGGATGTTGCCTGGAATGGAGGGAAGGTCTTACGAGGAGGGGTTGAGGGAGCTAGGGCTTTTCTCTTTAGAATGACGAAGGATGAGAGGTGACTTGATAGAGGTGTACAAAATGGTATAGATAGAGTGGACAGCCAGAGACTTTTTCCTAGGGTGGAGGGAGCTATTACGAGGGGGCATAGTTTTAAGCTGAGTGGAGGTAGATATAGGGGAGACGTCAGAGGTAGGTTCTTTATTCAGAGAGTGGGAGGGGCGTGGAATGCATTTCCAGAGAAGGTAGTGGAGTCGGCCTCATTAGGGGCATTTAAGTGGCTATTAGATAGGCATATGGTTGATAGTATATGGTAGGGGTGGAGGTTAGATAGACCTTAGGTTTAGGGTAACAGTTTGGCACAACATCGTGGGCCAAAGGGCCTGTACTGTGCTGTACTGTTCTATGTTCTAACTCCCTGTTCTCACTCTCTAGATGACTGCACTTTTTCTTTTTCTTTTTAAAAGCTTGTAGGAATCTTTGCTATCTGTTTTCACATTACTAGCTAGTTTCCTCTCGTACTCGGTTTTGAGGAAGGATCACCGGACCCGAAACGTTAATTCTTTTTTTCCTTCACAGATGCTGCCAGACCTGCTGAGTTTTTCCAGCAACTTTGTTTTTGTTCCTCTCATACTCTAATCTCTTCCTCCTCATTAACCTTTTTGTAATTCTGTGCTGTTTTGAAATTCTGCTGAATCATATGACCTGCCATATCTTTGACACAGTTGCATGCTTCTTCCTTAAGTCTGATGCTTTTGCTAATCTCTTTAGTTCACCACAGATAGTGGGTCTTCCCTAGATTGTTTTTTAATGATAGGGGTATACTTACCGGTATTCTGAACTATCCCCTAATTGTTCATCCTGTCTGTATTGTTCTTTCCCGTAGGCTCATATGCCAGTTCACTTCAGGAAGCTTATCTTTCATACCCACAGTTGGTCTAATTTAAGTTCAAAACAGTAGTCTAAGACACAATTTTCTGTCTTTCAAACTGGATGTAACGTGTTACCGTACCGTAAGTCCGAGGTTATTAATTAATCATTTTACATTACACAATACCAAGTTTAATATAACATGCTGTCTGCCTGATTACAAAATGTGCTGCTCTAAGGAACTTCATTTCAGGCATTCTATGACCATCCTGGCTATGGTTGATCTGATTTTCCCAGTTTACATTTAAATTAAAGTCACCCATGATTATTGTACTCTTGTGATAATGCAATGGCAATATTTAGTCTTTTTACTTTGTCCCACATTGTAAGGGGTCCTGTATTGCAGGATACAGGAATCCTTCCAGGGTAATTAAGAGTTTAGTAACGCTGCTGCATTTCTGGAGTCACATATAGACTGGAGAAGTTAAAGATGACAGATTTCTTTTCATAAAGGACCTTAATGATGCAGATGGGTTTTTACAACAATCAACATTGGTTACGTGGTAGCCATTAGGCTAGCTTTTAATTCCAGGTTTTCTTGAATTTAAATTACACCATCTGCCATGCTGAGATTTAAAACCATGTTCCCAGAACGCATGCCTGGGGTTCTGGATTATTAGTCATGTCATGCTGCCTGTACACTGCTGCCTTTCCTTATGAAGATAATTAATGAGTGCATGTTCAGATCAAGGTATTGTAAAATATGACTCAGTGAGTTCCATGGTAACCCACCTTTTCTTCCCTTGCTACATATCTGCTGATAATTTGACTTGCTTTTTGTGCTAGCGTTCTATGTTTTATCTAATGTTACTTCCTGATTTTCCCCCAATTTACTTGTCCACAACAGGTATTTCAGATGGTCCTTGCATATGCTGATATGATGGGTCAGTCTGTGCTGTTTGCCCTGGTACCAATTGTATTATCTTGAAAGACCCTGAAAATGAGAGGCAACGAGATGTGAAAGGTATTCAGCCAGTGACTTTAGAAACAGGAACATCAAAACAATTCTTCCAAGTCAGTGTTAGCAGGAGGGAGATTTGATGCAAGGCCTTACCTAGTCCAGCCGGATCAAAATCACCAAGTACTTCATTACTAATAAAGCTAATTTAAGGATCTTCAGCTCTTTGTAGTGCCTGGGAACATCTGCTCTTGTTAATGGCTGAAGGATTGCAAGTTAGTTGACCCACCAACAGTGCAGTTTATGTTCTTTATTGTGTGTAATATTTACCTTTTTGACAAGTGAACATACATTTCAAACATTGATCAAATAGATATACCAAGAGTGTGGGCTATTTCTTTGGTCCAATAGAACATCCTAAACCATAATGCTGAAATCTAGAATCATGCACTATATCTGGAAAGCCCACAAAATGGAAACCTCATTACTCGCTTCTGCTGTTTCTGATTGCCCATGCAAAAAATAATTAAAGTATGAAGACTGCTGTGAATTTGTCCTTTTATTATGATGTTCCAATATCTCTGTATCCTCCTTCAATGTGTTACTGTTGCCAATTTTATCCTCCTCTTTGTCTAGCTAGACCAGAATTACCAGAATGAAACTGATGCAGGAAAGTAACGTGTTGCCTAACGCCTCTTAAGATTTCAGAAGTTACACAGCCATCACAAGCACTTTAAAATTATCTACGAAGTCAAAAAATATTTTAAACTACCAATAAAATGTCTTTCAAATGTTTTCATTTTTAATGAGAGCATGTTAATATTCCCTTGCATTGTACCAGCAGTGTTTTGTAGGCAGGATGAGAAAGTGATGGTTCTAGTGCTGGTCAACATGAATATATTCTAGGAGGTGCTAACAATGGTTTTCCTATGTTTCAAAATGTTGTTTGTGCCTTATTTGTTTTCCTTTGGGGCAGTGGCTCTGAAATCAAGGCCTGAATGAAAATTGAGAAAGGCAGGCTTCTGGTTGTAAGAAAATACATCTTTGGTGGTGTCTTATTCAAAGTGCCTCCAACCTAAATTCTTCCTCCTGCTCTCTTTCCATCAAGTCAAAGCTTCACATTGAGAATTCCACATTCAAAGTACATTGGTGTACTTGAATTGAGCTGAGTAAAGCAGCAGAAAAATCCTGGCTTAAGCCTCTCCAGAAGTATCTGTTCAAGTAAACACCAATCTTCAGTAGCCACACACAAAATGGCCTCCCCATTGTGATTTCTGCAGGAAGACTTTATTGTTATTGATGTAACAACTAGGTATTTAAGGAAGGCATGCAGCACAAAGAGAAAGGTTAGCTGTATTTTTAAAATCTTGATTTAAATATGAGATAACAGATTTGACGGAACTGGAGGGAAATTGGCATATTTCTAAGAAGATAATTTACGAGCCATTTTTTGTGGCAAATTTGGTTTTTTTTTTTAGGACTGAATCAGCCTCTCTTGCAAATCAATTGAAAATTCCAGGTTTCATTCTCCATTGTTTTTGTAGTGATTGGAACCAGGTGCATCTTATTGACTGAGATCCTTGATTGGGGTTGTTAACCTGGGCCAATCAGGGAGCCCTGGCTGACAGATATAAACAGGGGATTCAGAATCCCCTCACTTCGGGGACTGATTCTGAGCTGGCTGATAGTGTGAATGTGTGAATAAAGGGTGTCTTGGTGATAGGATACTGACCTCTGTGCAGTTTTTTTTTAATTTTTTGAATCTAACATACTGCAATTATGTTTTAAAAAGTGATTTTGTCACATCCACCTATGTTACAAGATTGTGATTGTACTTTACATTTTGAATGAATTGGTAAATTCAGTTGTTTTTCATTTGAAGGTTGACAGAATAGTGAGCAATGAGGGGCTTTCTTGTAGTGCAGTGGCAGTGTCTTTACCTCTGGGCCAAGACACTGGTCCAAGTCCCTCCTGCTCCACAGGTGTGTGTATTCCCATCTCTGAACAGATTAATTAACCTATTTTTCTAATCAATAAAAATAGTGAGCAGTGATGTTGGAGAAAGTAGGAAATATGTATAAGTACTCTTCCTGAATGGTATGTGTATGTTGGAGAGAAGATAAAAGTGACCAACACTGCTACTATGGGAATTAACTTCTGTTATAACTTTTGTTTACCTATGCTCCATGGCCCCAAATACCCATGAACAACTCCAATAAGGGAAATCCAAATACATATATAGGCTGCAAATAAAAAGGTGGCCTGTTAAATATCAAAATGCATTTGATTTTAGCTAAATGTTTGCTTCAAAAATAACTGTGCCAACGCAGTCCATAATAGAAACCAAATCTGGAATTTTCTGTCTCTTTTCTCTGGCAGTTATTAGTGGTGGACCATTGAAGAACCAATACCGATTGAAACAATTTCATTTCCACTGGGGTTCAAAAAGTGAGCAAGGATCAGAGCATACTGTCAACAATCAGGTGTACCCTGCAGAGGTATTGTGATTTTAATTCTACACTTGTTTCTGATTCTAAAATACAATTCAAAATAGCCCATAATGTTTGGAAAAGTTGAACTGATAATTTGAACAAAACAATGATTTTCTCCGCTTAATGTTGCCCAAGATCCAAAAGGCAGCAAAAGCATGGATGCAGACTCCTCCACAGTTGCTATATACTCTCAGTAATCCAGAAAGACCATTGTCACAGGACAAGATTGATCAAAGCTAATGACCAATTGAGACAATCACATTAACTTCTTGAATCCTGGTCCAGAAATTAATTGCTGATGCTAGTGAGCAACATTGTTAATTTTTTTTAATACTTATTATTTGACCATTAACACAAAGGTTTACGATACAGAAGGCTGTCACTCACCCAGTCGTGTTCATGCCAGCTGAAATGAGCTATCTAATATTTCCTCATAGCTAAAATTCTTCATTTTCACCATCTCCCTAAATGTGTACATCACTTAATGTTGACACTAAATTTCTATAACTGTGCAACACAACTGCTTTCAAGGGTTTTACATTTCCTTTATTTTTAAAAAGTGTTAAGTGGTACTTTTAGTTATTGTGAAATATTGAAACACGAGGATTCACAATTAGACCATGATTTAATAGATTTTTGTTCTTGCTATTTTAGCTTCATTTGGTTCATTGGAATCCAGTAAAATGCAACAACAGTGATGTAGCCATTTTGTCTGAAGATGGCCTTGCAGTTGTAGGAATATTTCTAAAGGTAACTTCGAATAATTTAGCACTTATGGATGATTTGGATTATTAATTCTCTCAAATTATGACGGTACATTTTATTTCATTGACACTGAGTGATCACCTCAATCCCGTTCATAAAATTATGACATGCATTGGTTTTCCTGCCCCATAGAATTTATGTGGCCTAGGTACACTCTAGACACAGGCTTTCCTTTGGCTAGCCCAGAACTAGAGGGCATAAGTTTAAGGTGAAGGGGGAAAGATATAAAAAGGACCTGAGGGGCAACTTTTTCAGACAGAGGGTGGGCGTTTATGGAACAAGCTGCCAGAGAAAGTGGTAGAGGTGGGTACAATGAAAGTATTTAAAAGAAATTTTGACAGGTACATGAATAAGAAAGATTTTAGATCGTAGATCAGAGTCCCTACACTGTGGAAATAGGCCCTTCGGCCCAACAAGTCCTCACTGACACTCGGCATCCCACCCAGACCCATTCCCCTATAACCCACCTAATCTACACATTCCTGGTCACTATGGGCCAATTAGCACAGCCAATCCACCTAACCTGCACATCTTTGGACTGTGGGAGGAAACTGGAGCGCCCAAAGGAAACCCACACAGAGAATGTGCAAACTCCACACGGACAGTTGCCCGAGGCTGGAATTCAACCTGGGTCCCTGGTGCTATGAGGCAGTAGTGCTAACCACTGAGCCACCGTGCCGCCTATTATGGGCTAAACGCAGGCAAATGAAACTAGTTTAGGAATCCTGGTCGGTACAGCAAGTTTGACTGTTTTCGTGCTGTATGACTGTGACTCCAGAAGACTGCACAGGCTTCCAGTCTTGCACTGGACAAGATCTCTGTATCAAATGCATTTGCCAGTCTTTTCTTTGGTCTGTTGCTAGGATCCCCAATGTGCAAGGAAGAAGGTTTATTTTATGAATGTAATCTCGACAATAAAGTATAGAGAATATTCAAAAGAATTACGCATAATGTACATTTTTGATTGATCTCTCTCTTAAAAGCTTGGAAAAAAGCACTATCAACTACAGAAACTTATTGATGCATTGCCAGCTGTAAAACATAAGGTAGGTGGATAACTTTTAGCTAGTTCTCCATTTATTTTCACTGTTGGAATTATGCCTCTTCTGTATTATTTGTGTTCTCCTCAGTTTGAAGAAAGGAATAGTGCAGACCAGAATGCTGGATAGAGTTTACTCAAACAATTCAATTCGAATACCTTTGTTACTTAAGAATCAGAGTCTAACTTGTGTTTTAGTTAAAGTGAAAAATTAATATTTACACCAAATATTAACGGCTTCGTTCCATGGTTTAGATTTTGTGTTCACTAAGATGAGGATATCAGTGCAAGAGAACAGTCCATTTTTGATAACTAGAGTGGAACTCCTTTATGACATGGATGTTGGGGTCCAAAAAATGAGGCTGCATTAATAAGAACAAGTTTTATGTTCTCCAATTTTAAACCGGCAAAATGAAGATTTACCTCTGTTGCTATCCATGAAACCCTCAAGTTATGAGCAAATTTGCAATAGATTGAACCCGTCGTAATGGACTTGCTCTCAATTTTTACTGTCCAGCACTCCCAAATCAAGTATATCCAATTTAGCCTTCTGTAGTGTCTCAACAAGATTACCTAATCACAGCCTCACCTGATTAAGTCTCTTTCTTTTTATTTTGAAATTTTCCATTTCTCATACCAATTGCAGTTGTCGGGCTTGTTAAAGCCCAACAATTGCTGCATAGTTCGTGTTGTCTCTTCACTTTGACATCCTAAAGGGTGCTCAGCAGCAGTATATGTTGCATGCCATTACCCACTGTATTCTAGTAATGAGAGCTTACATACTTACTTGTAAACTTCAGTTTAAGGGCCTGAAAAATATGTAGATTTGACTGCATGCCGTGACAGAAATGCCTGAACAGTGCCATGGAGTTTGAAGGGCATTTAAATTACTGTTGCAATGATGACCCTTCTAGAATTCTTCTATGATTCCTTGTAGCCTGATTTGTTAAGAACTGCTCTGCATTTTTAATTGATTTAATGTCTTACCCCAACTTCTCACAGCTACATTCTATCTACTAATTTTTCCCAGTTTTCCAAAGACTGTTTTATACTACTGAAATAACCTGGCTCTCTATGTCTGTCTCTCCCAGGTTATGAAGAAAAGAAAGATTATCAGGAAAAGCATAAAACATCATTGTATTTGCAGTTTTGGTATTTGGTTAGGATCAATCCTGATGTTCCTCTCCACCTGCACAGGATGAGACTATCCTACCTGGCTACATATATATTTGTGAAAATTGTAATTCCCAAAGGAGGCTGTCACCATTATATCTGACTCATTCTTAAATATTGACATGATATTTGCTTCGAGTTGTATCTCAACGCATTCCGCAGCTCCACAACTGACTGAATAGAAACTGACTCCTGGTGTCAGTCTAATACACTTGATGTTTATTCTTGAATCAATGGACCCTATCCCCACTTCCCAGTGGCCCTGCTGCATCTGAACACTAATCTGTTGAGAACATCGGCTAACCCATCCTAAAATTATGCACTTCATGTGCATTGTGATTTATTTGTCGAGGACAGAAGCCATTAACATTTAATTAAGGCTTAACTGTGTGCCGCTTCTTGCACAGCATGGTGGCCCATTGGATCCAGGGTAAACTGACAAGTTGGATCCAAAATTGGCTTAGTGTCAGAGACAAAGGATGGCAGTAGAAGACTGTGATTGGAGCCTACTGTGCAGTGGTGTACCACAGGGATCAGTGCTGGATCCCTTTATTGTTTGTGATGCTCATTAATGATGTAGATGAGAATGTGGTGGGGATGATAAGTTTGCAAATGACAAAAATTGGCCAGGTAGTTGACAGTGAGGAGAAAAAGAGTTATATTACAGGAGGATATCAATGGATCAGTTAGATGGGCACATTAGTGACAGGTGGAATTTAACTCTGATAAATGTGAGGTAATGCAGTTTGAAAGAAGGAATAAGACAGAGGGCGTACTCAATCAATGGCAAGACACGAGGAAGCTCAGACAAACAGAGGATCTTGGGTGCCTATCTTTCTCAATTGTGGCATAGATTGTAAGAGCAAGGAGCTCATGTGGAGCTGTAAAGATTTTTGGTTAGGCAACATCTGGTGTACGGTGTGCAGCTCTGGTCACCACACTATAGAAAGGATGTGATTGCACTGGAGAATTTCAACTATGAAGAGAGGCTGGATAAGCTCTAGTTAATTTCTTTGGAGTAGAGGTTAAGGGGGTCCTGCTAAAGGTGTTTCAGATATGATGGGAATGGACAGGGTGAATAGGAAGGAGCTGTTCCCCTTAGTTGAAGGGTCAATAACAAGAGGACATAATTTTCAAGTGAAAGGCAGGAAGTTTAGAGGAGACTTAAGGAAAAACCATTTCACCCAGAGGGTGATAGGAGTCTGGAATTCACTGTCTGGGAGGGTAGTTGAGGCTGGAAAGCTTAAAACCTTTTAAAAAGTACTTGAATGAGCACTTGAAGTATCAAAAGCATTCAAGGCTATGAGCCTAGTGTAAGAAAGCAGGATTAGTGCAGGTAGAATATTTTTGGCAGTTTAGACTCCATGGGCCGAAGGGCCTCCTCCATACTGTATGATTCTATGATGGGTGAATGGGAAAAACTGTGGCAGATGGAATTCAATGTAAGCAAGTGGAAGGTTATCCATTTTTGAACCAAAAAAGGGTAGATCAGAATACTTTCTACATGATATGAAGTTAAATGGAGTGGATGTCCAAAGCGATGTGGGCATTCAGGTGTATAAATCTTTAAATGCCACAAACAGGTGCAGAAAATAATCAAGAGGCTAATGAAGGACTGAAGAATAAGGATGCAGAAATTATGCTGCAGCAATACAAAACCTTGATTAGACTCAACTTGAAGCATTGAGCAGATCTGGGCACCACACCTTCGGAAGGATATATCGGCCTTGGAGGGAATACAATGTGGGTTTACCCGAATTTATTTTAATGCTCATTTATAGGATGAGGGCATCACTGGCTAGGCTAGCATTTATTGCCCATCCCTAATTACCCAGAGGGCAGCTAAAAGTCAACCACAATGGTGTGGGTCTGGAGTCACATATAGGCTAGACAAGGTAAGGATGGCAGTTTCCTTCCCTAAAGGACATTAGTGAACCGACAATCAGCAATGGATTCATGGCCATCATTAGTCTCTTTAATTCCAGATTTTTTTTTTATTGAATTCAAAATCAATATAATCGAACAAATTCCACAATCTGCCCCGGCAGGATTCGAACCCAGGTCTCCAGACCATTACCTGGATCTCTGGATTAACAGTCCAGCAATAATACCACTAGACCATTACCTCCCCAGTGATACCTGGACTTCAGGGGTTAAGTCAGGAGGAGAGATTCTACAAATTAAGGCTGTTTTCTCTAGAATGTAGAACGTTAAGGGGTGGTCTGATCGAAGCCTTCAAGATATTAACAGGAAAAGGCAGGGTAGATAAACTATTTCCACTGGTTGGAGATTCTAGAACTAGGAGCAGAGATCATTTGGGAGACATTTTAGGAAACATGGCTATGCACAAAGCGTGATAGAGGTATGGAACTCTTCCACAAACAGCAGTTGATGCTATATCAGTTGTCATTTTTAAATCTGAGATAGATACTTGTTGGTAAAGCAAAGATATTAAGGGATATAGGCCAAAAGCAGGCATATGGAGTTAGGAGGCTACAGATCAGCCAGGATTTCATTAAATCGCAAAACTGGCTTGAGGGGCTGAATAGCCTGCTTCTGTTCCTTTGTGAAAAAAATGGGGGGAGTCAGGAGTTTAATAATTTTTTTTAAGTGCAAGGGAATTCTAATAAAGCCATTTTAAAAAAAAGCCGGTGGTAATTGTTGGTTTTCCAATTAAAGACTCAATGCTTGATTATACTTAAAAACACAACTTTGAGCAATTAGAAAAGAAACAAAGATTTCTGTTGTCAAAGAACGTCTTGGTGAATATTGACTATATACAGTACAGTGTGGACAAGTGACAGAGGGAACACCTTTCCGCTGGCAGATGTGTTAGCATTCAAGCTGACTGCTTCACATTGTTGGATGTGGATTGATTCGGGGAAGTACACTGCAGCACACTCCTGACTTGCTCCTTGCTGATAGTGGAAAGACTTCAGGGAATCAGGAGCAGAGCCATTCGCAGAAAAACACTTAGCCTCTAAATTCTCCATTATCCTGACACTAATATGGCTGCTGTACTTAAGTTTATAGTAATGGACAATGCCGCAAGACGTCAACGATAAGAGAGTTTAGCAAATTTCAAGAAGGAGTGATTACACTCCTCCTCTTGGAGATGATCATGACCTGGCACTTATGTGTAGCACACATATTGCTTGCCATGTGTCAATAAAAATTACAAATTGTCCACGGCATGCTGCATGTGGTTATGGACGCTTTGATCATTTGAGGAATCGTGAATGAAGTAGAAACTTCAACGAACAACCCCACTTCTGTGATTATGAAGTCAGTGATGCATCTGAAAATATTCGGGTTTTGGATCATGCCCCGAGAAAATCTGCTGTAATGTTTTGAAAATGAAATAACTGGCCTCTAACAACATAGCCATCTTCTTTTCTGAAGGCTATAACTTGAGCCATTGAATAAATTTCCATATGCTTCCCCCACTGATTTCAGTTTTCCAGAGCACTTTGCTGCCTTAATTTCAAGACCAGTCAGTCACTTTCTCACCTGTGCTCTGGAATTCTGAATCTTTGTCCATATCTGAACAGAGGCTGTAATGTAGTTTGTCAAGGCAGAACCCAAACTGACTTTTGGTCAATAGGTGCTGTTTGAGAACATTATTGATGACACCTTGCATCACTTTGGCAATTGAGAGCAGATTATTGGGAAAGAATTTTTGCTAACTTTTGTGGACAGGACATTCCTGGGCAGCTTTCTGCATTGTCAGTTAATTATCATTATTGTAGATGTACTGGAACACCTTTGCTCGAGACACAACTAGTTCTTTGTCCAGTGAATTCAGCCATTTATTGTTTAATGATTATCGTAAATTTTGTTTCAAGGTTCCTTAAGACTTCCTCTTCCAGCTTACATTACGGTCATAAGAGTGGTGCATAATGTCGAGATGCATCTGTCAGAGGCTGTTGAAAAAGGAGGGAAGTTTTACAGGATTTACCTTATTCAGAGCATTACAGTATTCCAGAGGGAGTGCTTCATCTGAAAATTGCTCATGACAGAATTTAAAAGAATTAATCAAGTAATGAAAGGACAATCTGGAGGAAGTGACATGAAGAAATGACTTAGCCACCCCCACCCCTTTTTTGTGCCAAATGTTACATTAAATCCTTTTTAAATAAAATTAGCATGTGAAGAAAAAATTACACGTTAGTGAAATTAGTAAAACGCTTGTACACACATAATAAGTTGACTAGATTCTTTTCTAAGATGGAAAGGTTTGTGGAACTGGCTGTGGAACCTGCAATCATCTACTTCTGGCATCCAGATTTTATTTGTTCCACCAGTAGTGGCCATGCGTTAGGCTTCTTGGGCTGTGAACTCTGGAATTCACTCCCTAAACCTCTCTATCTTTCTGCTTCTTCTTCCTCCTCTCTAACACTCCTTTAAACCCAGCATTTTGACTAAGCTTTCAATCATCTGAAATCCTCGTATCGCATTGTCTAGTTCTGCTCTCTAACATTTTTTTTTATTCATTCTTGGGATGTGGAACTTGCTGGCTTCTAGAATCGCTGCATTCCATATGCTGTAGGTAGACCTACAATATCATTAAGAACAGAGTTCCAAGATTTTAACACATCAAAATTGAAGGAATGTTAATACATTTCCAAGTCAGGATGGTGAATGCCTTGGAGGGGAACTTACGTATGAAGATAGTGTTCCATGTATCTGTTCCCTTGACCTTCGAGATGTAACGGTTATGGGTTTCAAAGGTGCTCTCCAAAGAGCCTTGGTGAATTCTGCAGTTTCTATGTTATGATCATACACACTGCTGTACTGATCATTGATATTGGAGGATGTGAGTGTTGATAGATGTGATGCCAGTCAAGTGGACTACTTTGACCTGGATGTTGTCAAGCTTCTTGTGTTCTTGAAGGTGCAGTCATGCAAGCAAGTGAGAAATATTCCACTACACTTCTGACTTATGCCTTTAGATGGTGGACAGGCTTTAGGGAGTCAGGAGGTGAGTACCTTCCTAGCGTCCTACCTAGACGAGGCCACAGTACTTACGAGGCTGCTCCAGTTCAATTTCTGAATTCTCCTGTAAATCCCCTTTATACTGAAAGGCCCTATGTAAATACAAATTTCGTTGATGATCATTATTCCAAAGAAACATTACCTGCAGTATAATGAAATATATGTTCTGTTTCCATGTAATGGCTACAGTTTTAATGAGGATATGATTGCAATATCATGCAAGTGCATTGTGTTTCAAGAGTTGTAACACTCATGGTCTATTCCACCCAATTACAGGGAAAAGAAACCGAAAACAAAACAAAAATATATATATCCCTAAAATTGCTCATCACTTATCTGCAGAAGCATCAGTGACAAACAAATAATTCAATTGTCAAATCTCACAAATAATCAAGAAATCTTAAGATGAAAACCTGTATCATTCATTACCTGAACTGTAGTTCATTGTGTATACCTGCAGGGTTCAGCAATTGATTTCCTTAACTTTGATCCTGCCTGCATGATTCCATCTTGTTCGGATTACTGGACATACCCTGGCTCTCTGACCTCTCCACCTTTAACTGAATGTGTCACTTGGGTCATTATGAAAGACCCCATCGAAATTAGTCCAGAACAGGTAACATTTTCAACTACTTAGTTACAACGTACATACATTCCCAAGATGTTGCAAACATCTGCTAAGGTCACAGTACAGTGATGTTTGCAATTTTATTCCATGCATTATAGAAAAAGCATTGAAGTCTTAGTGATATAAACTGCTTGGCACTTGCATGTAGTTCAAACTGGCATGCGAGGAACAATCTCTGTGCTCGATGTGTCTCAAGGATTCGAAGATGTTAGCCTTTAGACTTTGTGAATATTGAGGCTGGGCTGCCAGAGGCAGATTTCCTCACAGATGTATGCAAAATTAGGCTGCCTGCTCTCTGATCAGTTCAGGAGGGGAAGGGTGGCAATTCTGACTGACAATGACAATTGGAAGTATGTGTAATTCTTCCCAGCAACTCAAGAATTTTTTTTATAAAACATTACATATCCTTTTTACAGTTGTGGCTGGTGACTTGGCCAGATCAAGTTGTTAGATCCTGAGATGGCTTTCTATACGTACAGCAAGGTAGTTTCATGTTTCCTTGAACATGTATTAGGCCCTTTATCAGCATGTGCATAATTTGGGCTGTGTCCTTACTAATGTCACTGAACTGTTTTTGTTCCAATTCCCATATACTTATTTTACATTCTTCCTCATTATTTTCCATTTCTATTTGCAATTTTCCAATCTTTTCCAAATGTTGTTTTACATCATGATCGTTAATTAGCCCCTTTTCATTCTATAATGATTTAAAATATAGATTTAAAATTATCCATCCTGGACTTGGCTCCTCAATATACTGCTCTGGAAGACCATGACTAATGCACTCTAGAAACTCATTCCTCGTAGCTTTGGTCCTCAATTGTTTTACCCAGTCTGTATACAGATTGAAGGCACCCATGAATACGGTGGTGCCCATGCTATATGCTTCTCTCATCTCCCAATTAACACCATGCCCTACCTCTACTACGTGGTATTCTGTGAATATCTTCAAACAATGTCTGCTGTCGCTTAGCTCTAATCAGCAGATCCACAAATTTTTCTTCCCATCCAAAATCTACTTTACTGATGTACTGAGATCATCACTTAGTAGAAGTGCAACTCCACCTCTTTTTCCATTTTGTGTATCCTTCCTAAATGTCAAAAATACTTTATATTCAGTTTCCAGTTGTGGTCACCCTGCAATCCTGTTTCTATAATGGTAATTAGATCATAATCATCTGCCTCTATTTATGCCTTCAGATCATTCTCTTGTGAATGCTGCATACATTCAGGTAGACTGCCTTTGCCTTTGCCTTTTTGACATCATTCCACATTCGAAGCATACTCAATGTTCAGCTTCACTTATCTTCTAGTCTTCTCAACAGCTTTTCTAATTCTTGTTATCAACTTTACTTTCTTCCAATTTGGGTTACCCTACAGATAATCTTCAATCTGACAGACTAGTTTGAACACACTGCAACAGCATTATCAAATCTCCCTGGAGGAATATCAGTCTTAGTCCTGTCAAGATATAAACCATCCAGTTTTAACAAGTCCCACCTGCTCCAGAAGAGGTCCCAATTCCTCAGAAATCAGATGACCTCTCTCACCTACACCAGTTTTCTCATATTTAATGGATCAATCCTCCAAGTTCTTTTGCTCATGTGACACTGGGAGTAATTACTACACTTGGAAGGAAATTAAAAAGCAAGAACCAAGTTCCCTGAAATCTGCTTTCAGTATCTCATCCCTTTGATAGCCTTCAAGTAAGCATAAAGTGCCTGCTAAGAAATGAAGCCAAAAACCACAAAATGCATCCGGTTTAGATGCATGGAAGTGTCCATGTTGCTTCATTCAAAGGGATCTGGCAGAAGTAAATCGTAGGTGCCCCAAAACTCTGAAGTGAAGGTCTGAAGTAGTGTATAAGTGGATCTGAGACCAGACATGATGTGGAAGAGCTCATGATGTATCGATGCTGACTTGCATAGAGAAAGGGTGTAGGAGAATGTCTGTGTCCTTGACACATGCTGTGATGTTCTGATAAAGACCTGGGGAGGGGAACATGGCAAGTTGCTGCCATTAGGTAACCACTCAGACATTCATTGTGAGTTTTCACCATCTAGTTCCTCTGCGAAAGAGAAGAAACTCGAAAGTCACATATCAATGAGGCATGTTTTGCTAATGAGATGCAAATAGATGGAAATAAAAAATAACTGTTTACTGGGATTTTTTTTCTCAAAAGTCTAAATGCTATTTTCGCACTATTTTTCCAACTTTCTCACCATTACCCATGTTACTGAAGGGAGTGGAAGATTCTGCCCTAACATTGTTTTCCTAAATTGGCTTTGTATTTTGGCTCTTCCAGAGATATTGGACTGTTAGTCAGTGACAGTCTAGCCCCTTAATAGCATCTATTTTCAGTTGTATGTTCATAACAGCAGACAACTTGCAACATAGTTGCTGCATTGCAAGACTCCCAAAGCTTATTGCTGACTCCTCACCTTTGCAACTCATTAATGTTCTGTCATCAGTTTTTGCTTTTAGCCATGATGGTTACAGAACATTACATAATATTCAGACAAATATGATTTTCCACCTCCCTCTATAGAACATACAGTATAACATTTGGAACAGGAGTTGAAATAACTCCAGAGAGGCTGGTATCCCATCATCAAGTTGCCCTTTATTTGCACGTGAACAGCTCGTAACAATAGTACTGCCTCATTACAGAGTCAGACACCAAAGTGTCAGTATCTCTGACGCTCACCCTTTTTATATGTCAGGCAGGGCTCCCTGATTGGACCAGATTAACAGCCCCAATCACGGAACTCATATTCCATGATGTCTAGCTGGCTAACCTTGTTACAGTCAGTCCAGGGTATGTTCTTGTCACATTATGATATCAGCATGAAGGTTGTCTATTGCCTATTTCGCATCATTAGGATCACTCAACATAAAATTTGTGTTTCTGAATTTGATTTTTAGGAAAAAAATGAAATTGAATCGGACAAACATCTAACATAACTGGAAACCCAATTTCATCAATAAAATTTTGGGAACCTTAAATTTTAAAAAAAGAAGTCTCTAACTTTTAACTGTAAGAATCATTAAACTCCCCCAAGCATTGTACCCTAGCATGATTTCCAAAGGACTCACTTATTCTGATCTTCACTGAGGTGCTTAAGTGGAAAATTAATGGCTGCTTAATCATCACTTCCTGCCTAGCCTTAAGGTTGAGGGCAGTGAGAGGAGTTGGTTTGCAGGGAAAGTCCAATATACCAGTCATACAGCACAGAAACAGACTCTTCGGTTCAACTCAATCACACCAGACATCTCAATCTGACCTAGTCAGATTTGCCAGCATTTGACCCATATCCCTCTACACCCTTGCTATTCACATACAAATCCAGATACCTTCTAAATGTTGTAATTGTACCTCTCTCCACAACATCCTCTAGCAGCTGAATTCCATATGTACAGTCCTTTTTTGTTTAAATTTGTCAAAATCTGACCAAACCTCACGAGCAGTCAACAAATCACCTTTTTGCCATCTTTGGATAAGATTTAATAATCTGTCTAAACTTTCACCCATGTTAGAATCACCAGGTGCCAGTTCCAAAAATAAGTCTGCTTCTTATTCATTTTTTGTGAGGTAATCAAAGTACTACAGCTATACCTCATTTGCTTTTTGTTAAAGTAGTAACCCAGGTCCATATGGCTACTTCATTCTTCAAGATTCACATTCAAAAAAAAAAATGGGCTGGGTAATCAAACACTGGAACTTTACATTTTGCCTGCACCATTCTTTACGGCCAAAGTTATACACCAGAAGACAAGTGTTTTTGAAGAGTCCAAGTTGACACTTTTTCATGGACTGGTGAACTGAAATAAAGCTCTCATTAAATGCTCAGCCCTATAATAACACCCAATTTGCCCTCAATTAATAAATCCATCATTCTATAAGGTCTCAGGCATGCCTTCATACCTTAATAGTTGATAACAATCTTAGGGACATAATTTCCTACTGTCTCCTGATTAATTTTTGATATGTCAGTTGCTTTGTAAGATCACTCCTCTATAACAGCTTGTCTGTATCAACCTGCCAGCTTTTTACATCTTTACTGATATAGTGGCATCTGTAATTTCTCTGTCCGGTGAGTATGTAATGTTACTCCCTAGTAATTTAATATCATCCCAAGTGTCCCAAATGGTAAATCCATGTATTCTTCAAACCTTTTAATATCCTTTAATTACAAGAACCACTGGTGACTCTACAATAACTTTTGATGCCAAAACAAATCTAAAGTTCAAAACGACCATATGAACTGATGCACATAGGCTAGTTACATACCAAACCGTGGCTAGGTTTTCAAGCAAAAGGCCTTTACCTTGAACTATTTCACATTTGTTAGCCTAAGTTTACGTTATCTTAAATCATAAAACAGCAATGAAACCATAACCATTACTTTTGACCTGGACTATATGTCTATAAGTGCTTTACAACTAACCTCAATTTAATAAAATATAATTTAATTCATTGTTTGGGGCTTCAGTAGTAAAGGGCTCTCTTTTCCCCCATAGGGCACCACCTCTTCGCCTCACTCTTTCTTAAACCACTCCCCCAAACTCTGGCTGAAGGACTGCTTGCATCTCCACTGATTGTGTGCGAGAGATGCAGCAGGGAACTCTTCCACAAGTTAAACTTTACTGCTGGCAATTAATTACCAAATACCACTGTGGAGTATCTGACTCGATTGTGAATACATGTAGTATTGCTTAATCTCTGCAGACTGATTAACCTCTTTACAAAAGCTTATTAGGTTGGCTAATTCTGTAAATAGTTCATGGAAGACAACAGGCATCGTCTTCCATTAGAAAAAAATAATCAGTTAGTTTGAGTGGAAGCAAACTTCCATGAACTACCAAAGCTGGTATAGCATGTGTTTTAAACCTGGATTGGTGGCACCATCTTGCACCACATACCAGCACTCTACCAAATTGTGCTAACTGACCCCCTAAAAATTTATTAACATTTAAATAAAGTCTTTCAACTTTTTTTTTTGCAGTTCCATAATTGTGTACGTAATCAAGACTTAAGCAATGATTTTTTAACAAGTGATTCCATGGTTGCTGCGGTACTTCTATAATTTATTTTTTGATTTGCAGTTGGCTGCGTTTCGCAGTTTGTTTTACACATCCATTGGGGAAAAGCAAAAGAATATGGTGGACAACTATCGACCAGTCCAGCCTTTACTGAAAAGAACTGTATATTCAACCATTTCACCTTTCCAGAACAGCGTTTCTCAATAGAATAATACATCTGATTCCAAGCACTGTTCAAGAGAAAATACTGAGGAGCCTTACATAATTTTTAATATGCTAATTACTTCACTTTCAAGTCTGAGGGACCTGGGAAAAAAAAATCACTTAATTCTTTTTAACATTTACATGCAGAAACAGGAGCTTCAAAAATTCTTTCAAAAACACAGATGGTTCGATAAATATGGTGCTCTTTTATTATCCAGTGTAGTTAGAATTTGTGCAGTTGTTAAAGTATTTCTTATCATGTAGCATAGTTAAATTTATATACAGTTAATAGGTGCTTTTCAGCATTTAGTTATCATAAACAGTGTATGTTTATGTATGGACCACTAAATTAAGTCTGGTTATTTTCTTTTCATTAAAATGTGATAAACAATATATGTTCTAGAACACTTAATCAGTAATTATTGTAATAAATGTTTACATCTAGGATACTTAATGGTGGCATGTATGTAAATATATTATGGTTCTTACTGACTGTTGAATAATGCCTTGTTAAAAAATGAGACCAAAATAGAGTAAAATAATTGGTAGTTAAAATAATAAATTCAGAGAGGTTTCATAGTGAGGTATGGCACTACAAACTGCTACGCAATGAGGTTACAGCCTGCACAGTAATAATCTATTCAAATTGCTCTTGCATGATCTTTTTGCATATTGCAACAAGTGCCTGATCTCACAGCAATTATAGAAGGATAACTGAAATCACTGCCGAGAACAGTGTTTTGTCTTAAACTAGATGTCATTTATGGCATAATCAGAATGAGGTACGAGTTACCTCAATAGGACAGATATGGTTACTAAGACTATTGGAAAATGCAGGATAACTTTGAGATCCTAAGAAATTCTCCCTTTCTCCACTCAAGTTCAGATCACATTATTAAATTGAGTGGAAGTTAATGCAGACTTCAACATTAACCCTTTGGAGAAGGAGACTTATACAACAGAAGTTATCTCACCTCCATCTCAGACAGGAGAATCATCTTAATGCTACAGTAAATGTATCCTTTCGCTCACAGATGGAATACTACATAGCAATAGGAATTTTCATCTTAAACATGACATGATATGACTAGAATGTTTAAATGATTGCTTATCAAAATGTTATTTCCATAATTTTTTGTTTTGATTTTGCATTTAAAATAACACTACCTGTTCCCATCATCTCCGTAGGGAGTCCATACCGTATCATTACCCATCCCCTGGCATTATGAAATACTTATTGACTTAACACACAGGAAGAGAATTAAAGTTAGCAAAGGGAATGTACTTCGAAAATGTGTTAAAAGGAACACATTGATATCAAACACACTGCTTTGTAAAGAGAAACAATAGATTTGGACCTGTATTTTCATGATTACAAGAAGGAATGTCATCCATTTCATTCTCTTTGATCTCCAAATGGAATTTATTTAGGTACAAGAACATAACCTGAAATAAACAAAACAATTCTGAAAATTTGACGCAAGAATTTGTTCAGATTTCTGGTTAAACCCATTCATCAGAATAGCAAACCCAATCCAGAATCTGAAAATTTTCCTTGGAAAATGTTTATCGCCCTGTTATGTATTTATGCTGATATCAGACCTTCTACAAGTTTTTTTTTAAATACATATCTATCGAGTGTATTTGAAAAAGCAATACAATGGCCAATAACAGAAATACATAAAACACTTTTACTGTTGTTTTTAAAACTGCAAAGCTGGTGGGTTTTACATTCTCATTCACATGAAATAAACAAAAGGCCAACGTTAACAACATGCAGTGGAGCAACGTGGAGATTTTGCAGAGTAAAGTTGTCTCAGTTTTCATTAATTTAAATTAATATATAAAGTCAGACACAATGGATCTTTATTTTCTGATAACTGCTGCTGACAAGCATTTTTCCAAATTGGGGGAATCTAGTTAGATGGCTGACTAGCAAAATCAACCCTGAAACAAAGTAAGGGAATACGAGTTAACAAGGTGTAGAGCTGGATGAACACAGCAGGCCAGGCAGCATCAGAGGAGCAGGAAA